TAATCACAAAATATTTACAAAATATGTTTTTTTATATATTGTTATTTTACAAAAAGTGTAACTAACAAGGAAGTTTTACAGGTGAATTTGCCTCTTTGAACTGAAAGCGCTTAAGGGAAAACACAGTATTTCGCATCTACCAATATTGGCGTTCAGCAATATGTCCGTTGGTATTTTTTGCACTCGAGTTAGTTATTTCTAAAGTTTAAAAAAGAGCTTTAACGAGTGTTTTTCTAAACAATTCCGATGTTTCATTGACCTGATCTGTAACCACAGGTTTGATACGTCATTAGTTGGGGCGTTATGATATGATCTTTAGGAAAAAGTCGCTAATTAACATTCCAAACTAACAATTTCAGAAATATATGGAGACAATGTATTTTATTACAAATTATAGATGGATTTTAATTGGTTTGTTGTCTTCAAAGGAAAAAAGGAAACAACCCCAAATAGAAACATAAATATTACAAAAACAACCGTGTACTATTTCTAAGTGCGTTTTAATCCCATGAGTGCGCAAAGCAACCTTTTGATGAAAGTTCTTACTGTCAGCCAAAATATGCTACAATGATATACTACGTATATACGTGGGATAGCGCTTTTGTTGTTCAATAGTTAGAATGCTTAATTCGTGGCTTTTGTGGAAAAAAGGTAAAATTATAATACCTATTTCGATACCTGACACTGTAAATGTTATGTTCGATATTATGTTTCCGCTATTTTCAAAGATGGAATTCCAAACTCCAATATTTTGTTAAAATCGAAAGCAAGTGAGAAAAGTAACCAAGAAATAAGAAAAACATTTACAATAACCCGGTAAACGAAGCAGCAGTGTGGATATTGTCGTATTAATAATTCAATCCTGCCTGATATATGAGGGAAAATTATCGAATGATTGAGATCCCGTTCTAGTCTAGAAAATGAAAATGGAAGGTCAATGATAAGTCAGCGTGTTATCTAGACCCTAAGCAGTTCTAGAAAATAACATCTTGTCTTTCAAGATTAATAACTGTTAACCTATTAACGTTTTATGTAGTTTCAATAAAGTGTCTTGAACAAGCCGACGGCTACAGTATTAAGTAAGTATCATGCAAATTTAATAACCAATCATAGCAAACGAAGAAATTTTGTTATAAACTGGAAAATAAAGTAACAATTTAAACAAAAAGCAGTTGTTTTAAACATTATAACACATGCCAAGTTATCAAATTACAGCCTCCCACCACCTCCTACAACGACACACAAAGGGAACCAATGCCCAAAGTATGAAGTTCATTTGACAAGTACTGCATGAGATAGAGCCCAGACAAAACCAACATTTTTGATGTGGGTCAGAGGTTCTATACCCAAAGTATGAAATTCCATAAAATGTAGTTGGTCAAAGGTAAACATATTGGTCAGGGTGACTTACTTTTGATTCATGACACAATATGGTGAACGCATACCCACCCCTAGCTGAAAGTACCAGTGACAAGTAGTGAAGGAGATAGCGCCCAGATATTGCTGAAGGACGAACAACGACGCTATTTCTAGTTCTCGTTGAAGGGGACTAAACTTTTTTTTAAGTAACGCGAATCTTTAAGTAATTAATATTTAACATTAATGAAGCTCAATAAGCCCAAAAGTTCGCTCTAGAGGATTTCACATAATACAACATACCATATAACAAATGCGCCTTGTAAGAACTCGTTGAGCACTTATTCTTTAGTATAATGTCAAACACTGTGATGGCTATCAGGTTGGCATCTCATATAGAATTGTTACTGAAATGTGTAATATTACAATGTACTTCCATGCTACCTGACCGCTGATCGAAATCTTTTTTAAGCTTTCCTCCGATATGTTTACCAGCACAACAGCCAGTTACACGATATCATAGATCAATTTATTTGTAATTAATTTTATCTTCGACAGAGGAAAATAGCAAAAAACAAATTGACAAAAGCATTATTTCTGTAACTATTTTGAAATAATATTGACCTATGGAAACATAGTATGACGTATGCGTGATACCTGGGATGAAGCCAGACAATGGGAACACACACACAAGGATAATCAACAATGATATCGCTTCTATTGTGTGTGTTATTATAGGAATGACAGAAGCAGAGACAAACACCTGTTAATAACATTAAAATGTGTGGGATAATTAAGATTTAATTAAAGAAGTGTCCTATCTTCCTTCCACTGAAATGAAAAAATGACGCAATAACTACCAGCAATCAATATGTAAAAGTCAATGTGTCAATGACCTTAGTTCTAGAGGTTTGAGGTCAAGAAATCAGGAGAATAACATTTAAGAGTTGTGTTATTAATCGCAGGAACAGTGACATGGTGATCATAATGGAGTCTGACTGAAAGCTGACAGAATAGTTACGTCATGGTTGAGAGGCTGCAAGGGGAGATAATTATGTCATATACATAAGTTATTTCGGCCAATAAGCCACTGATAGATACCAATGTATTTGACAGTAAACCTTTCATGATTTATATCGATAGTTTGTAATTTAAACAAACGATATCGTAAAATGTATAGTTATTGCCGTTCCTTGTATTAGATAATAAGGGAAGTTCGTACACCGAGGGTTTGTAAAAAATCATCAATTTGTTTGATGACTATGTCCTTGTTTGATTTGGTTCTGTACATACCCTAGCAGTGATCTTTTCCCTTGCATTTGCTTCATGTTTCCCCTATCCCGAGACATCTTTGTGATGTTGATTTTATCACATATCCACGTCTTGTATATTTGGACTCACACGCTAACGAGGGTTGATTTCACGTGGTGGCTAAACACGTACTGTATTGTGTATTGTCTACGTAGAGCGTTTACTTCTGATGTAATACTTCCACACGACATAGCTTTGGCCTGTGTAACACTTCATATATTCTTACATCTAGAACCTTAAACAATATCATATCAGATCCTATATCGATCAGTTTCTCGCGAATTTGTTTTTATCGCTATCAAGATCCTATCTCAAACTAATTTTTCTTGAAGTTAATTTGCGTACTGGCAACCTTTGACCTTAATCTGAAGATCTGTCACAAACGTTTAAAAGGGCATGCCGTTTCCTTCTTTCTATCGTTGATATATTGTAAATGACGTTAAAACGTGGTTTGTGTAATATGCGTATAGTTTCTTAGCATCGTCTTCACAGAGATTCCATGTCGATTAAATATTCGGCCTTTCTCGCCAACCAAAATCATGCGATAACTGCGTATTTCAACTTCGCTTTTACCTTTCAGGTGTCCCGATAACATAAATCTAACGGGCTGTTTGACAGTGTTCCATGTTGCCTACAAAACCACAGAATTCCATTCCATCGCTGGTGTTTCAGTCAACAAATTCAACATAGCCATGGTAGTCGGTTTTACTGTCATGCTTTTGATGGTTTCATGGCGACGATTGTCCAGATTCTGACTCGATGTCATATCTGGCGATAACACTTTCACGACCCTGACTTTCTCCTCGTCGTGTTTGACATTCGGTCTTAAACTACACAGCAAGTATGTGAAAATCAATTTTCAGAGTGGATTATTTAATATTCGGTTTGCCATTCGCAAGTGAATGGGAAATGTATGATCTCTTTTTATGGAAACAGAACACATACTTGTATTCCTTAATCACGATAAGGCAACTAATAACGTTTCCTTTCACTCGAAAACCACGGAAATACAATCTTTTAAAGACGATATATTAGCTAATCAAACTTCAGTATTACAATAATTCAAAATATCAGATAACAATACGGACATTCCTCGTTTACATTGGATATACAAACAACATTTAATTACTGACGCGTTAAACCAAACCTTTATGAAAGCTTCAAACGATTAATCTCACTACTATTAAACAAGAGTAAATGTTTTATGGCAATATTGTATGAACGATTAGTAGATTTAATGGAATGCAGATTTTGGAATACTTCAAAGATTTATGAGGAGTCTGAAAAATCGATCTAGTCTTCATTTTCCGCTCCATATGCCACCTTACCCAATTGCAACCTAAACGAAGAGGTACAATCACATATGGTTGCAAAGTCTACTTGAAAAAGCGAAAAATAACATTTTGGAGAATGAATTCTTATGTATATTTGAAATATCTTTCAAGCGACTATTGGCATACCTAGGGAACAAACTGTGTGCTTCACATTACCACTACACGGGACTTTTTCTGGTCGTCGTCATGCTCTCACTGGGAAATATTCCTGTTCCTTGTGCGATTTTAAACTACATTGTACAAAAATGATTTCATAAACACTGCGGGTTGACAAAACATCGAGGGTGTAGTCGACGAGGAGGAGATGCTTATCATTCAGGAACACCTGTATCATGCTCCAAGTTCTTTTCATGGTTTCAATCTAAATCCTCTTTTGTATAAATGGTTTGCCTCATTTAATTGATTGCGAGTTTGAATTTCGATCTTTTTGCCGAGTTTATTTACTGACACAATACAATGCTCTGGGGTAACATACGCGGTAAATGTTCTCGGCCGGTTTAATTTAGAAAATTTCCAAAAACCAAATATGTACATATGTTTCTGAATAGCAATACAGTGTATATGGCATCATAAATAAAATACACCATACAACAATGTCAGGGGTCAAAAGATCAAACAAAAAGCTGAAATGGTACACAACATTGTATGGATGATGAAAGATGGTACACAACATTGTGTGGATGATGAAAGATGGTACACAACATTGTGTGGATGATGACAGATGGTACACAACATTGTGTGGATGATGAAAGATGGTACACAACATTGTGTGGATGATGAAAGATGGTACACAACATTGTGTGGATGATGAAAGATGGTACACAACATTGTGTGGATGATGAAAGATGGTACACAACATTGTGTGGATGATGAACAATGTTATACAACATTGTGAGGAAGCATTTCAAACGAAGGGACATGGTTTTAGCTTATTCACTGATTCCATCAATCTGATGAACCAACCAAACATACAGCAATATCATAACAAAACACTTCCCACAATTATATATAACGATTTATTTGAGTATAACAATGATAAAATGGGCTATGTTTACAGTTTACTGATTGGTATGGTTCTTTTAATGTCTTCTTGTTGGAACACCATTCAAATTTCACTTGGCCATGAAAAATTAGTTACATCCTAAATACAAAGTTATTTATCAGCAAACATTTCAAACTAAATACCAATAACAAAGGATACTAGAAACCTCCACACCACAAAATGAGTTGTGAAGAGAGTAGGGACCTTTGGAATGATGGTTCTGTGTTTCTTAAAACTAGGTAAGCTATAACAGATCTTCCATTCAGGCATTTAAAACATGTAAATAACAGTCAAAATTACTTTTGAAAATTGATGGATTTTGGTGAGACAAACCTACTACCATTTTTAGGATCATTCATATATTTAATGAAGTGAACACATTTTACCTGACATGGTGGAGGTACAACACTTCACATTTTGTGCTATTTACCATAACCTTGAACACTGCTGTATTTCAAAATCAACATAAATGGTCAGTATTAAGTAGCCTCTACATATGTAAAATGATTAATATTTACAATACTTTTACATTTTTTGTCATTTTGAATTCACGCTTTGCAAAATACTTCAGTTTCTGTCCTAGTAATGAGTCTATCAGCCTCTTGACGAACAATTTCCCGAACTGTAAACATATCAACAAGACCATCAAATAAATATTCCTTCTGACATTAAAAACATCACATACAGTCACCTCACATAGATTTTACACATAACTTTAAAATATGGCATTTTACATGATTGTATAACACAAAAATGACAAATAAGTGTACAATATAAAGAAATGTTACACCACACTATAGAGAGTTCCCAAAGGGGAACAACTCAGCCAAATCCCATCCTTTATAAAGGTTTACAAGATCAGGCGTCATAAATCTATCCAAGTGGTGAAGATTTCAATATATTGAACTCTACTCTGTCTAAAGCACAAGTAAATCTATTTTAAATTTGTTGACAATGTACATATAATACAATATAATATGGTGATAAGACCCAACAAAAAACTTGCTTCCAATACTCTACTATGTCCTGCATTTATATCAGAAATCAGAAAAGTTCATATAATTTTTTCTAACAAGCCAAAGACCAGTTCAAGATAAATGCTCCAAAACAGAAAAGTAAACAAATCATAAAAAATAATTTTGCAAACCTACAGTCTAACACAAACAGTTGGTCATGTCATTCCTTACAGCCAAGTCAATATTCAAAAGAGGAGCATAGATAGGCAACATTAAGTATGTGCATTTACAGCACTATGAATGCCACACAAATATCAGGTGGGATAATTTATGAGTAAATGCTATCACCCAACCTGTGTATTAAAGGTATAATTCAATACAACAATTCATTCTGGAAGGGCTATATATACTGATCTGTGTAAATGATTATTTTACACTGCCTACTGGATAAAACAGTTGGATTCTGTCTGGCAAAAGATCTAAACATCAAATTTACATGTGATAAAATTCCTGTCTAGAAAAACTACCAAGCACTGATAAATAAATCAAACTGTAATTAGTTAATCACCAGCACAATATCAAATTGGATTTCTGTTTGTAGATTGTCTTCATAAATTCTTTCCATTCCCCTTCAGTTCTACCTGTAAAAACAATAAGAAGGATTGTACAAAAGACACACAACAGCGCATTTTCATAACTTAGAGTGAGATACAGTAGAGCCAAACAATGAATTAAAGCTTTTTCATCCTTTTGTACAAGTTTTGAAGCCTAAAAATTAAAAAGAATTTAAGTCATAATAACATGTTATAGCACATGTTTGTTCGATGGGTTTATTGCCCAATGAACAGTCAGGGTGATTTTGAGGCTGGGTCTCCTTGTCTTAGCTGGTATCTACCTCATTTAACAACAAGCATGCCCTTCAGGCCAGGTAAGCTAAAAATGAAAGTATTTTGACCCATGGACACATTCAGCACAGAGTGAAAAGAGGCAGGAAAACTTAAACCATTCATATTAGATTTACATCTATAGTAGATATGATATCCTGATGAGAACGCATTTTATGCAAGTTCACAAGTCTGATATTTGAATTTGAGAAATCACCTTGCTGGCAGATGGAGATTTAAGATTTAAGATTTAAATAATTAAGTGAAGAATTGTTGAAATTTTGTTAAGAAACAGCAGAAAAGATTTCTACTGTACTGGATCAATTTGGTCTAATAGAAATTTCATTCAACTTTTTACTGAATGTGTAAAATACAGTAAATATATAGAAGGTATATTTTGAATGATGTGGATGAAGAAAAACAGTACAAATATACTGGGAAATTTACAATCAATTGTGATGATAGTAGGCCTGTCTCTTGTAATTCATACCTGTATATATACATAAATATATATATAAATGTAACTTAAAGATGCTTGGTGTATCAATAAAATATTTGAAAAGAATAAAGTCAACATGACAAATGTATTCTGCTAACGTTTTGAGCCCAAACAGTCATCTTCAGGGAATACATTTATTATAATGTCTCGTTAACGACATTGTGACGTCACACATAATACATAAGAGAAGGGGAGAAAATGTTATCGTTGAAGTATATAGACACTACATTTATGTCCGTTTGTTATCAATCAAATGTGTGTAAAACATTTTTCAAAACATTAACTTGTATTTACAGCTGGTTTAAACATCCCTTACAAGAAACAGATATCTAGTGTATATGAAAATCTGCTTGAAATATCCAGCATGAGATGATGACAAAAATAAAACATTACTAATATTGGAGCACACGGCACCAGGTTTTAAGACTGAATATTCCAGATTACTGACCTATGAGGGCTGGACCACACTTGACCCACTGGCACCTTCTCCCATGGCTTTTGAAGACTCTCCTTCACCATCTGTTACAGGAGATGGTGCTGATTTCTCTTCAGTTTCAATCCCAACAGCTTTAAGGATCTCAGTCGATTCTAAATGGTCTGCAGGATTATCTTGTTTGAAGCTCAGCAACAGTTTTCCACCTATTTTTATAAATAAATTTAATTTGTGACTTCCCATATTTCATGCCATACAATACCAGATCATTAATCACAGACTTTAAATAGAACATTATAAATTAAGGGATTTACATTATCTCACAATAGTTCTTTAGTAACTCCTGAGTATGTCAGAGCTACATCTGTCACAAAAGTGCTAAGATTATCTCCCTTGGATCAATAAATTGCCTTTTGACCCAACCAATGGTGTCAGTAGCTGCTAGAAGTGTTGTATTCCACTTAATTTGCATTAGTTTTCAGATCACAATGTCATACTCTACTGTTGATTTAACACCAAACTGATTTTTATATTACTAGCCTTCAGTAATAGCTCTAATTGTGACAGTAAGGCCCAATAAATGTAACTTTTAATTAACCATAAAAAATGGCTCTGCTATCATAGGATGATGCATCTTTTTTAAGAAAAGAACAGTACCTGCAGCCACTATCAGAATTCCTCCATTCTGCATGCCATCCCCTTTAAAATTGCCGTCTATCTTCTCTTTTTTGGCCTGAAATGATAACAAGATACTGTATAATCAACACAAGCACATGTTAACTATGTCATGTAACTGCCATCCATAAAATTGCTTGACAAGGTTTTTCATACAAATTTAAAAATTCAGGAAAACTAATTGTACCTTCTTCATCACTAGATTCTTGTACTCTCTATTTTGAAGGAATTACATGCTCGTTCCATATGGCATTTCAATATTTCCATTCTTTTCATTGTAAACTATTTTATATAAATTGATTTGAAATTCTAGGTTATTTCAAAGTTTTCACAAGACCCAAGATCAAAATGCAAACATTAAACATTTTTATTGAAACTTGTGAGTTACTATAAGAATATGTTGAATACTAACAGTAACATTTTTGGTTTCTAACATCACAACACTCTATCATTTTGTAAATGATTGTCTTCCTTAGTTACCTAAGTGTGATGATACATACCACTAATACTAAAGTAACGTAACAAGGTTAGTGTGGGCTAACAACAATGATGATTATCAGGTGACAACTATGATGACACAAGCTCATCAGATATTGTTACAATGAAAACATCATCTACAACCCCCATGTCAATTACAACTGCTGAACTGGTTTCCTATAAAATTTGAGCATCTAAAAATTTTTATAAGAGATTTAATTAAAATTCCATTACTTTGAAGGAACACCATTATTGATGTAGAAAAAACATCAGATCCATAAGACAACTGATACTGATTAATACGCAATAGGTTTTCCTCACTTCTATGTAATAGGTACATTATAATCAGACATAATTATGGAACAGGTGCTCTGTTACCTTAGTGTGTATTTGAGTTGAGCTGGTACATATATGTATGTATATGTATATTCAGTAAGTCAGTTATTGATTTCTAGTTACTGAAATCACTGACAACTGTATGTAGAGAATCCTTAATATTCCTTAACCATGCTATGTAGAGAATCCTTAATATTCCTTAACCATGCTATGTAGATAATCCTTAATATTCCTTAACCATGCTATGTAGAGAATCCTTAATATTCCTTAACCATGCTATGTAGATAATCCTTAATATTCCTTAACCATGCTATGTAGAGAATCCTTAATATTCCTTAACCATGCTATGTAGAGAATCCTTAATGTTCCTTAGCCATGCTAGAACCTTTACATTGTGTCCTGTTGACAGATAAAATGGAGAGAAAGTTGATGATATCTGATATAGGGGTATCGACCTAGCATGTTTATAACAAGGTAATATCAAAAGTTGTCATGGTCTAGAGAGCTGAATGAGACAGGGGTGGATATATGTCAACCTCTTACTGAAGCAAACAATTCTGGGACTCCATTTCACCTCCCGACCTAACTTTTTTTCTGTTTGATATATCCATGTATCTGATTTCATGTGAACCAGAAATTTACAAAAGTGCAGTGTCAATTTAATCCTCACACATCCTAATAACCTACACTCAACACACATAAAATGGTGGGAGAAAGTGACTAGATTTTATATAAAAAATATTCTTCTTCTGGCCGAGGTGTTTACTGTAACCAAAATTTGAACCTGATATCATTGTGTATCAGGGCGAATGGTTTGACTATGTTTTGGTGGTGAATAATTTCAATTTTGACAGAGAATGTTATGTACATGACATAAGTTCAATGACAGTTTGAGGTCATTACCAACACAGTTCATTACATGACTTGCACTAATTAAGAGACCTTGTTCTAATTACAGGTAAAATTTCTTAAACTTCAACACCTCATATTACTGTTATTATCCTGTTAAGCCCAGGGACAAACACATTATATTTTTACATAAAGTGCACAAGCCGTGGGCTTAACAGACAATCATATATCATTTGTTTTACAATTTTAGAGAGCAAGTACATGTACTTGTATGATAAGCAAATTATTATCATACATGGGCTCATTTGTAGACGAATACAGTATTATCATGTATAAATTTCTACACCTCATCAGTTTCACAACTTCAGATGTTATCAACATGTTACATAATTAAAAATTTCATTCCGCAAATATTGTACATTCTTTATGCAACTAATATCATCCATCAAAGCTATTTAAACTAATGTATCATTAAAAAGTGTTGATCTACTGTAACAATCTTATACCTACAATCTTATCGTTACTGTATATGTATACTGTTGTGTAGCCGAAGGCACTTTAGACAATAACATTCCGGCCGATTAAAATCTCTGACTTTCAACCGCAAACTTTTAAATTATAATGAGAATCATATATCTAGGACCTAATAGTTTTTAAGGATCTAATATTGAATAGAATTTGACTTTCTATCAGTTCTATGTCATTGCACAAAGGTCATGAAGTTCATGATACACTATGTTATATTGTATTGTAAAAGAAGCAGGTCGGTGTGGCTTGTACATAGTGTTAAATAAGGTCTCTGTCACTCAGTCTACAGAGCATGCTTCTTTGGCTCAGTTGATACAGTCAGTCGATTATCACGCCGGAGACCCTGGTTCAATTCCTGGTCAGGGCACTTAACAGCGATAAGTGTTTTCCCTGCTCTTTCACGCCCAATGAAATCCCACGGGTTGTGGTATTTGGAGTCTTGCATTGACATTTAGGAAATCTCAGGAAAAACAGGGAAGTGCCAACTTAACCAAAGAAGCATGCTCCGTCAGGAAGATTAAGAGACCATATCTAATTCTGTATACAAGCCACAAGCTCCTTTTACAGTATTAGCAACAGGCACATGTCTGCTATAGATACATGAGCTAGTAAATGACTTGTTGTAGATGTGGATGAATTGTAAACCAACAACAACAACAATAATAAACAATCTTGATCTGATTTTAATGTTAGTAACCTGATCCAAATTATGGAATTTTATCAATAAACATGTGAATTAAGATATATGTTTCTGAAGTCTTTAAAAGATGAAATGTACATTTTGTAAGGTAAAACAATATCTCTTATACCTTATACTTCCCTTTTTATCATATCTTTGGTGCCAAACACTACCTGGAGCCGAGGCAGCCAAAGGACCCAGGTAGTCTCGGCTCCATCATTAACCTTGTTCCACACATATAAGCACTGTTGTGACAATTATATGTAAACACGATAAAGACCATATTAATGATGTCCAACAAAGCAGTGACAATTCACATGTTTTTCCTCTCCCGCCAACTATACAATAAATCAATATTCTATGTATGATACAGGCATGACTTTTAACATTTTACGTCCCAAACCCCATCAACAGGCTTTTATAATGTCTGTAGACAATTATCAGTCTGTGGTAACACATAACAACTACCGCTGAACATCTGTCCTCGACCATCAGGCTGCGTCATTCCTAAATACTTTGTTAGCCTTGCCGTTTTCAGAAATTGCAATGACACAAACTTTAAACTGTGGACCTTGAATTGAATTGGCAACTATTTGCTTATACAAAACCATATTACAGATTAATTTCTACTTATATTTTGAGAAAAGGAAATCAAAGACTTTTGCAGGGGATAAGCCGACAGATCCTTATTGTTAAAATACATGAAGTCTATGCCTGGCAGCCATTTTATTTTTTCCAAGCAGTGTGATCCTTTGATGATCGGTCACTGATGTATAATTACATAACCTCACACTTCTAAATGATAAAATTTTATGTAAAACAAAAGAAACTAGAACTGTAAACCAACGGTTTCCTAATAACCGCTCCTCCCCCAACCACCAAACCCCAGTACCGACGCTGAAAATTTGCAAAAAACAGTTTTATAGTACTGAAACTGTAATTTTCATATATATATTGATATTGGCTGGTTACCATGGCAACCAATATTTTGCTGGGGAAAAAAAAAGTTGCATGCACATCTACACATGGTCCCAATCTTTCGTAGTATATGAAACTGATCATGTACACCAGCTAAAACTTAATTATCAAATTTTAGGGAGAGGTTTACTTGTGAAATGTTTAAAGCTGACAATTCTAAAATTGATGATTTTAAAAAAGTAAGGAAGATGGGGCTTATTTGTGGGCATGGGTTTATTTGCAGATAAATACGGTATGTATATTCATTGAATGGTGTTTACGAAATGCATGTACAAGCTTCTGTATCTGCATCAGACATTCATGTAACTACATATTGCCTGGTGTACATTAAACTATGGTCGTACAAAATGTAAGCAACATGGCCTATCTACATACAGTATAACTAATGACAAGACCGTACAGCCCAATCACTAGCATCTTTCTCAATAAATACAAACACAGAGGTTGGTAAGCTTTATCTAGAGTAAATGTAGAGATGAAATGGATTTCCCGCATAGATATGTATATATAATCTAAAAATTGTAAAACAAGATTTTATTCATATCCTGGATGTCCTTTTATCATCAACTGAAATAAATCAGGTACATTTCTAATGCAATTGTACCTGTGAAAATTTGGTATGCAATACTAAATGTATTTACCCTGTTTCCAGCTCATGTAAAAATCAGCACAACATGCCATCAGCCAGCCACAATGGATTTAAGTGTCACCACAGAGATTCTAAATATGTTTCCAAGTGAGAAAAAAGACACCAGTGATGTTATCATTTCTGAATTCTATAAACAGGATCCATCAGTGCATTCATGATAAACTACATTCACCATTGTATCCTTGGCTTTCCCTGGAGCATTTCAGTGGATATATACTGTTACAACAATGTAAAAAATCAATGCTGCAGGTGCATTTTGTTCATGTACATAATTGACACCAGTTTCATGTGTATAGACTCCATGGAAGTTGTGTCTATAATACCATACTTCCAGTGTAAAAGATAGAAACCCTGTATATTCCAATATCTTAAACATGATTATTAGACAACCCTGTCTGTGTGATACATATTGAAATCCATGTTAACCCCCCTTCAAACTTTCTCATTAAACACAACATAATTCAGTGCCTAACTTTACCTAAGTGGTGAAACTTCAGGAGCTGACAATTATTGTGTCTTAACCACAAACAATCCCAGGTGGTGAAACTTCAGGAGTTGAAAA